GGCCCTCCGGGCCTAAAATATAAAATTTATTTATTTATTTATTTATTTATCCTAGCTATCTTAACTATCATACTAGACACGGATTTCCAAGACTTGATCCTTATAGTTGCTTCTCCTCTCCCATGAGCGTCTATCTTCCGTCTAGTTTCTCCCCACTATCATGTAACTATCAACAAGTTTATCCCGGCGTCTAACCCTATGGCCATTTGGGTTCAAAAGCTATAAATCTACAGTTTTCAGATATTCATGTCTCAACTTACAGCCCCTACATCTGAGTTAAGACCTGATGTTATACACGTTACGGAATCGTGAACCCATCTATCAATTGCTGATACTTAACTTACAACAGATGATTATAATTATCATTTTCAAGACCGCACTAGTGAGCATGATGGTAGTTGTGTTTTCTTTATTAAAGCTATTTCAAGAATTTCCCGTTCCATCTAGATGCCGCGTCATTCTCCGGCAATTACTGATTCGCATCTATTATTCTATCATTCCGACAAAATACGATTCTCGGATGTATTTATAATCCCAATAACTAATCATCAGAAGATGATGGAAAGCATTTTGTAATATTTGAGCTGATTTCGGAGTCCACCGTCGATGTTAAAATTGTCGTTGGGGATTTTAACTTTCCCGGAATTGATTGAGTTTCATACTGTTGTCCATCCGGATTTCAGCCCTTCGTAGGCACCATTGATTATTCAACGTGGTCTCAGTTTCTGTGCTCCCCAACGAGAGAGGATCATATTTTAGACCTTATTTTCACGAACGCCATAGCTGCCCATTTCGTTGATTATAATCAGGGCCTCTTCCAAAGTGACCACACATTAATTCACTGCCGCCTTCCTATTGTCTCTACGAAAACGGCTAGCACCGTTCGTAACTGTCATGCCTTTGACCTCGCTGATATTAACTTAATTAACAAATTTGGTGACGCACTAGACTGACAGCATCTCTCCCCACGGACGACGTAGCAAGTCTCTGTGACTTCATTTCGGCAATTTCAAATAAAATCTTAGAATTGGTGCCAATGAAATTACTAAACCTCACATTTCGGACCCCACCTTTCCTCACTCACTCACCAAAGAAATTGAACAGGCAGTCGAAATATATATCTACTAGTTAATTACCCGTGCATATAAGGGTCGCTGAGATTTTCGAATTAGCGTCTAAGATTCATTTGCACTTAACAGACAGAGGGAATCTTGAGCACACAGTGAGTTAAACTCTACAAAATTCGTTGCCCAACTGTTCCGTCATTGGTCTTCC